ATTCCATTTTTTTGTATAACATCATTATTTTTTGTATGAAGGGGAGGTTGATCTTCATTTTCTACTTTGCCTTCGTAGCCCATGTTGTTGAATGATGCAACTAGTGTCACGTTAGGCTCAATGCCCCTGTAATCTTGAAATCCACTTGAAGTTTCTGGCATGTCGCCAATATTTGCAAATTGAGTTGTCTCATCTGTGATCTTAAAATCGTACTTGGTGTATTCTTTCGGCATTTTGTATCGCCAAATGATAACAAATACCGATGCTAGAATCAGGAGAGTTCCTAGGAAAGTTGCAATGGCTGCACCAATCAATTCGTTTGTGTGTTTGTTTTCAATAGATTCTAAATTTGCTTTATATTCATCAAGTCCAGTGGTTGATACCTGTTTGCATTGATCATTGGTAGTAATGCTTGGGCAGCCCCCTGATAATTGCACTGACACACAGATGATGTAATCAGTCCCAGGGCTCAGGTTCTCTACAGTTGCTTCTTCTGTACTTATTTCATTTATTGATTTTGTAGTGACCGATTCCATTTCTCCAAATACATTTGACTGAACAAAGTAACCTATTGCATCTGTTCCAAATGATTTCGTCCAGCTTACTGTAACAGCAGTATCGGAAACTTTGACCGTCTCAACATTCAGTGTTGCGAGTGGACACTGCTGCCTTGGTGGTTCTGTGATAGTTCCTGTCACATGCAGTGAGAAATCTTTTGAATCAGAACCCTTTGAGTTTGTTGCAGTGCACATGTAATTCCCTTCATCTTTACTGACAACAGAATTGATAATAAGTCGGTTAGTTATGACGTAGATGTGTGCGTCATTATTCATTGTGGTTATGGTTGTCCCGTCGGGTGCAGACCACTCATAATGTGGTTGAGGATCCCCAACAGCCTCACAAGTCAAAATCACCGACTTGCCAATATCAACTTTACCTTCACCAAAATTCTCCAATTCTAAATTATATATCCAGGGTTCGCAACCAAATTGTCTATCGTCTACATTTAAAGCAATTGAATTTCTGAGAAATTCTGGGTCGTAGCATCTCCATGGATTGTCGGAACTGATAGTGTTAAGGCGATCCCATGTTAGGAAGTCTTTCAATGGGCATGCACAATTCCATTGATTGTCTTCCAATAACAAGTAATCCAAGTTAGTTAAATCCTCAAATGTTTCTCGTGTCACAGTCTTCAAATTATTGTTTTTCAAACTCAACACTCGAAGATTTGTTAACTGTGAAAAACTATCTTTATGTAGTGTTTCAATCGCCATGTTTGAAAGATAAAGAAATTGCAATTGTAGCATTTCCCTGAAGATATTAGGTCCAAGATTATTGTTAGGATTTCCACTGACATCTAAGTATTGAAGATTGATGAGGTTTTTAAATGTACTCTGAGTCAAGTTGTCAAGCTTGCAGTTTGGAAGATAGAGGTGTGTAAGCCTAGGAGACTCTTGAAATGTCTGTGGACTGATGTATGATATATCATTATTATGGGCTTCAAAAACCAGTAAATTTCTAAGGTTCATAAACATTGATTGATCAAGAGTGGTTAGTTTATTTTGGCTGACTTTAAGTACTTTTAAGCTTGTAAGACTACTCAGTACATTGCTGAAATTTGTAATCATATTTTGTTGAATCTCTAAAGTTTGAAGGTTTGTTAAACTGCTGAATGCACCAGGTTCTATCTCTTGAATATTACACATCTTCATAGATAATCTGTTAAGATTCGGTACATCAGAGAAGGAGTTGGCTGCAACATTACTTAAAGGATTACCATCAAGGATCAAAGTAGTTGTGTATTCTGGAAGACCACTTGGAATTGTATTTAAACTACTGGATGAACAATCAACCATCTGTGCAATATTGTTGCAAGTACAC